CTTTAGCCTTCCTACAATACATTATAAACAATAAAAATGTACTCGTATCCCATATTAAATATTAACATTCTAAAACTGCATGAGTCTGTTAAAGATGACCACTTGAAATAATGGGCTGTTTAGAAGAAACATTAAATTTATCTCTGCTCTAAGGTCCTTTCCTTTCCATAACTTGAAGACAGTAGGAGCTTTGTCATTAAGTCTCCAATATTCTCAAGAATAACTTAAAACACATTTAGGGCTTAAGAATAACCAAAAACTGCCGGGTGGCGCCGGTGCCACGCCTCGTCGCACCTTTCGCAGCACCCTTGCCCGGCTCTTAGCCAGGGCCGCCGAGGCGGGTGAATCACGAGGTCAGGTTATGATCCGCCTGGACCTTTGGCCCAATGAATATCCAGCTACTCGGCTATAACAGTTTATTGTGTATGGCACCGTTCTCCAAATCTTACGTGTGCGGCGCTTCTTTGGCAATAAACATAAAATCGCAACATATATTCTAAGCCAGAAGGGTGGCGGTATTGTGGAGCGCCTGTCATGCGACTCCAGCCTACTTTCATTGGGAGGCTGTTAGAGGGCAGGAGAGGATTCTTCAGCAGACCAGCAGGGTCCGGGCGTGTACGTCGGCTCGGGGAGCAGGTAAGCAAGGGCTTAAACTATGCTTTCAAACACCTGCTAGGGGAACCTTCTTAACGGGAAGGCTTTGTAGCTCTGATTCCTCGTCTCAAATTTTTTACCTTCAGCAGCTCCGCGAGTCCCAGAGACTCTGAGCTACGCAGGCCAGGACTTTTAGCACTTTTCCGCTACCATCGCTCGCGTGTCAGGCTACAGAAAGCAGTTGGAAATGGCCCTTCTCAAAAAAAAAAGAAAAACGAAAAAAAAAATGTAGCTGGGCGTGGTGGCCAGCATGCAGTAAGTCCCAGCTACTCAGGAGGGGTAGGAGAATCACTTTGAACCTGGGAGGCGGAGGTTGGCGGTGGGCCGAGATCTCGCTCTGCACTCCAGTCTGGCGCAACAAGAGCAAAACTCTGTCTCAAAAAAAAAAAAAAAAAAGAAAAACGCACGCAAGTGAACAAAATAAATGATGGAAAAATGTGAATGTTCATGACACTCAGCAACTGAATGGGCTAAGGTAAATATACACATCTCAAATCATGCTTTAATAAAGTCTGTCCTAGAGATGCTTTACTATTGTAAATGAAAGAGTATGCTGAGAAAAACTCCTCAATCCAATTTAGGAAGTTTATTTTGCCAAAGGTTGAGGACGCACCCATGACAGCCTCAGGCAGGTCCTGACAATATGTCCCAAGGTGGTCAGGGCAGGCAATTCGGTTTTATCACATTTCAGGGAGACATGAGACATCAGTCAATATATGTAAGATGTACATTGGTTCAGTCCGCAAAGGCGTGACAACTGAGGCCGGGAGGGGGGTTTCCAGGTAATAGGTAGACAAAACACAAACAGGTTGCATTAAGCAATAGGGCAAAGGAAGTAACCAGATATTCATTTATCTCACCTGAGCAGAGGGGTGACTTTGAGTTCTGTCTGGAGTTTTTTTATCTTAGTAGCTGTCTTTTTTTGGAATAGAATAGGAGCCACGTTTGCCCTAACCAGTTCCCAACCTGTCTTTTCCCTTTGACTTAGTGATTTTTGGGTCCCGAGATTTTGTTCCCTTTTACACTATCTAAATGTATTAGTTACCAATATTGAAATAAGGAAAAGAAATCTCAAAGCATTAGGTTGGTACAAAAGTAATCGTGGTTCTTGCTATTATAATACTTTTATTTATTTTATTGATTTTTATTTTTTTATTTTTTGAGATGGAGTCTTGCTCTGTCACCCAGGCTGGAGTGCAGTGATGCAATCTCGACTCACTGCAACCTCTGTCTCCCAGGTTCAAGCGATTCTCCTGTCTCAGTCTCCCGAGTAGCTGGGATTACAGGCGCCAGCCACCACGCCCGGCTATTTTTTGAATTTTTAGTAGAGACAGGGTTTCACCATGTTGGCCAGGCTGGTCTCAAACTCCTGACCTCAAGTGATCCACCCACCTCAACCTCCCAAAATTCTGGGATTACAGGCGTGAGCCACCCTACGAAAAAAAAAAAAAAAAAAAAAAAAAATAGCGGGCGTGGGTGCTGGCGCCTGTAATCCCAGCTACTCGGGAGACTGAGACAGGAGAATCGCTTGAACCTGGGAGACAGAGTTCGCAGTAGTCGAGATTGCGCATCACTGCACTCTCAGCCTGGGTGACAGAGCAAGACTCCATCTCAAAATAAAAATAAAAATCAATAAAATAAATAAAAGTATTATAATAGCAAGAACCACGATTAATTTTGCTACCAACTAAGCTTTGAGATTTCTCTTTCTCTTATTCTCAATGAATGTGCTAACTGTACTACATGGTTTAGATTAGTGTGTAAAAGGGGGAACAAAATCTCGGGACCGCGCAAAAATCACTAAGTTCAGAAGGCGAACACAAGACAGGTGGGAACTTGGTTACGGCAAACGTGGCTCCTATTCTATTCCAAAAAAAGACAGCTACTAAGAAAGAAAAACTCCAGACAGAAACTCAAATGTCACCCTCTGCTCCAGGTGAGATATAACATGGAATACTCTGTACTTCCTGCCCTATTGCTCTTAATGCAACCTGTTTGTGTCTTTGTTCTACCTATTACCTGGAGAAACCCCGCCTCCCGGCCTCAGGTTGTCACGCCTTTGGCGACGCGAACCTAATGTACATGCTTACCATATTATTGACTGACTGTCTCATTCTCTCCCCTGAAATGTATCAAAACCAAGTTCGTGCCCTGACCACCTTGGGTACATATTGTCAGGAACCTCCTGAGGCTGTCATGCGAGTGCGTCTCAACCTTGGCAAAATAAACTTTCCTAATTGATTGAGGAGTTGTTCTCAGGATACTCTTTCATTTACAATAGTAAACATTTAGGACAGATTTATGTAAAGCATGTTTGAGATGGATATTACCTTAGCCCCAATCAGTTCTGAGGTGCATTGACATTCGAATTTTTCCATCAGTTTATTTTGTTACTTGCGTTTTTTTCTTTTTTTTTTTTTTCTTGAGGACAGAGTTTTGCTCTTGTTGCCCGAGACTGGGAGTGCAATGGCATGAGTCTCGGCCCACCGAACCTCCGTCCAAGGTTCAAAGTGATTCTCCTACCCCCCTGAGTAGGTGGGATTACTGGCATGTCTGCACCGACGCACCAGACATTTTTGTTTCGTTTTCTTTTTCTTTTGAAGAAGGCAGTCATTGCTCGTGTTTGCCCAGCGTGGACAAATGTGCCATCTCCCGGCCTCACCTAACAACGTCCGCCTCCCCGGTTCGACGCCATTCTCCTGCCGTCCAGCCCCCAGTAGCTGGGACTCAGCTGCCCACCCACCACCCTGGGCTATTGTTTCCTATTTTTTTTTTTAGTAGAGATGAGCGGTTTGCACG